GAGGTGCCTGAGGTGAGTTTAAGCCACCGGGTCCGGGACGCGAACCGCGGTTGACTACGTGGGAGTCCAGCGACATAGCCATTACGCTAACTGCTGGTCCCTCTTAACAGCCTTTTTAGGTTATTAATTATCTGAAAATAAAGTTTTATAAGATTTAATAAGGAGAAGGGACTGATATTCAAAATCACTTTCTTATGGTAGCATCTTTGTGTATTTGAGAAGACCTATACAACCATTACTATCACATCTCTTTTTTTTTTTAAAAAAAGGTTTTGTCAGAGGGCGCGTGTGCTCACCAGAGAGGAAAAGTGAGAAATCACACCCCCGCCCAAGGGGGATGAACATGCTGCAGTCCCTTCTCCTTTATTCTCTTCACAGGATTTTGTTGCATGTGCACAATACGCTCAGTGTGATTTTTCAAGCGGCCAGGTCTGCACGCAGACTGGTCTAACATGTGGAGTCTAGTGCCTTAACCACCATGCCACCTGCTTGACTCCCACATCTCATATTCTAAGAGCCAATCATTTGATGCGATCTAAGTACTGTGTCTTTTTAAAGCAGTTAAAATACAGGTAATGAGAGACCAGCAGATGGCATGGTGGTTAAGGCACTGGACTCACACTGCCCACCATAGTTAGAATCTGGACCTGGAAGCCTAAATATCACACTGTACGCTTGTGCTTTTTGTGCCTAAAATTCCAGAAGAACAGAGAGGGGATTACATCATGGCCAGCCTCTCTGGTAATTTCTCACTTTCCATCTCATTGTATCTCTCTGGTGAGCGTAGATGCCCTATGACAAAAACCTAAAACAAAAAATAATGATTAATAAACTTTGAGAATTTTCACTATTTAATTGAACTTTATCATCATCCTATCTATGCACATGATCCTATTTTGTCCCCACAATATTCATTGTATTACTCCATAAGAGGGAAAGGATTGTGGAGGTCCAGAAAATATAATAGATTGTGTGATAGTTAATATTTTAGTTATTACTAAGTATATAAATCATAAACCTTGAAATAAAGGTAATACTGACAATTCCAGTTTGGCCATTTTTACCAGCAGTTAGGAATGACTGTGAGCAACTGTCAAAGAGTTGAATTTGTATTTAAGAAGTAACATAATATTTACTCTCACAGTCCAGATTTTGTGTTCAGTTTTATCGGCCTCAAATGGCAAGTATTGTGCACAATTTAATAATTGCCTG